CGGGTAACAATTTCCTGTACGGTTCTGGTCGACGGCCGCAGGATGATGACTCAAATGTCCATACTTTGATGGAGCTGTTTTAGGAGCATGCAGACTGGGTCTACTCAACTGAGAGTGTGGCAGCGGGCATTCAAGATTTCCTGGTTTGCGTAGAAATGTTCATCGCCGCTGCTGTTCACCACCACGGTACGTTGTTCAGTAAAATCTTTGTTTCCAGTGTGTGCCTCGCAATTCTTTTGCAGCCTGCCTTGGCATGTCCTTGTCCCGCTAATGGGTTGTTTTCTTGAAATGAATCAGTTTTTTCGTATCGCGAGCACCTGCCCAAAGATGGTACGGCGCCACCTGAAGTGACCTTTCGAACGGCTGTTCGCAACCTCCTCGACTTTCGAGATGTCACACATACCATCTACGATCATGTGCAGGTGGGTTCGAAGCGAGCCGCCTTTGTGCTCAGCAGCAAAGGGCGTAGGGCTCGTCTCATCACCGAGCAGTGTCCTGAATCCGACTTGTGCTTACGCTTACCATTCACAAACCTTCATATCATGTAGACGGTGGCTACGTTGGATGGCCGGATTATTTCCCGTCAACCCATGCGCTCAGAGCACACCGCCTTGCTGAGCAGCACGTCACCAGCCTCGGTCTTGGTCGCACCTACGCCAGCAGCGGATGCTGCAACCGCATATGGTAGCACCGATGATGCAACAAGTGACCTGGCACCACCCCGCTCCACCGTCTGAACTCTCGATCCAAAAATGAACCCATCGGCGAGAATGATATAGCCAGGTGTGATAAGTTTTCTGCATCAAAATTGATCTGATCTCGAGGCAGTCGAGGCAGAAGACGATTGACATTTGTGAATCATGAATCAAAAAGAAAAAGGGCCGTTTTTGCCCAGAAGAGAATGACCTTGAGAATGGATTCTGAGAGGTTCGGCAGATACACAAGAATGAGTTTTCGATTTCTCCTTCCAAATGAGAAAATGATCGCATCTGCAAGGGGAAAAGCCAGCACCATGACGCTAGTTTTTTGGTGGGGGGGCGGGGGGGCGGGGGGAATGAATAAGAAATCGAATTTGGAATCAGTTGGACACGCAAAAACTCACTCATGGTAAAAACGGCCCAAAAAAAAAAAAAAATTTGGTGGGAGATCTACATCAAAATTCATTTTCTTGCTTGCTTCTTCTTTCTGTCAAGTGCCAATTTTGATGCCAATTGGGTCAAGAGAAAGCGATCTCTGCGCGCGGCGCGGAGCTCAATGCATGGGCGTGGCGACGTGGGCCAGTGCTCGCAGGGCAGACCGAGAGCGTGACTGAGGCCAGTGCCGCCACCACGTACAGGTGAAGAGCTTGTCGTGCTTTTCCTGTACCAATTGCAGGATTACAACGATGGTGCCGCCCAAGCATGCCGTCGTTGCTCGCCGCTCTCCGAACGACACCAACAAGCTCTTGTGCGAAGCCGACAAGAACATCCAAGCCCCCGCATGTCAAGACTCGAGGCATTCTTCTTCATCCGCTAGCGGGTATACGGCTGCATTCTCGGCAAGATTTTCCGTGCAAACATGGTGAGTCCCTGCGTGAATGCTTGATTTGGGAAAGTGAGATGCATGAGGTCTGGCTCTGAAGTCGTGCGGGGCCGGCGTGCATGACCGTCAAGGCCACAGAGCTGAACACATGATCGTGCCCTTTGACTGTCTGAAAGAGTGCATGTGTGAGAATGTGTGAGCATGCTTGGGTATGTGAGTGAGTGCGGGCATGTGTGAGCACTTGTGTCTGAGCATGTGCGAGTGAGTGTGTGCTGGCACAAGTCTCTCTTCTTCCCTCCCTTTTTTCCTCCCTCTCTGTTGTCTTGATATCTTTGCTGTCTGGCTAGTTGGCCGATCTTGTCTTGCAGCTTTGGGAAAGCGACGGCAAGGAAGGCGGGGTCGCAGAGCCGATGTCACTTTTTCGTGCATCTGCATTCTCGTGGATGTGTGTGTGTGGACTTTGAACAGGGGGAAAGTGGCAAAGGCGAGCATGAAGGATCACGGCGAGGGTGCTTTCAATCATGCCAGGCAGTTTTGGCGGGAAAAAATGAGCTAGAGGGAGGAGGTGTGAATGCATCTTCTATTTTTGGCCTGTGGAATGGTTTTGGCGGGAAAAAAGAGTTGTGGGGACGGGGGCTGAATGCATTTTTCTCCCGTTGATCTGTGGGGTTGGTGGTGAATGCATTTCCATCGGGTGACTTGATGGTTGTCTGCCCCTTCTCATTTCTGTTGCATTGACGCGTTTGCAGGATGGCGAGCACCGAACATTATGACCCACCACCTGAAGCTCGAGGCGCTCAGGACACGCTGTTGGACCAGTTCGAGAGCATGGGGCTATCACAAGACCCCAAACAGGCGCCCGCTGCGACCCAGATGGCGGCGCAGAGGCTTGAGGTGGAACCCACGCCTGCTGATTCCGCTCATGTTTCAGTGCAATCGCAAAGGCCACCGCCTCGGGTCAAGGCAAATTTTCAGATGGTCAAGCCTAATCTAGTGGCTGCCACTCAGGAGTCGGGTTTGCAGCTCGCGCAGGCTGGCAAGGCGGAGGGTGACAACGACGTGGCCGAAGTCGAGGCAAAGGGTGACAACGACGTGGCCAGAGTCAAGGCAAAGGGTGACAACTACGTGGCCAAAGTCAAGGCAAAGGGCGACAACGACGTGGCCCAGGCCGAGGATGAGGTTGCCAAAGCCCAGGCAAAGGTGTTCCTGGCCAAGAGTAATTCAACGGCGGCCAATCAGGAGCACGACTTGGAGCCTCTGCAAACGGCTTTGGACCTCGCGAAAGCCAAGCTAAAGAAGGCCCGGGTCAAGGCGGAGGGTGACAACGACGTGGCCGAAGTCAAGGCGGAGGGTGACAACGACGTGGCCGAAGTCAAGGCGGAGGGTGACGTCAACGTGGCCCAGGCCGAGCGTGAGGTTGCCAAAGCCCAGGCAAAGGTGTTCCTGGCCAAGAGTAATTCAACGGCTGCCAATCAGGAGCACGACTTGGAGCCTCTGCAAACGGCTTTGGACGTCGCGAAAGCCAAGCTAAAGAAGGCTCGGGTCAAGGCGGAGGGTGACAACGACGTGGCCGAAGTCAAGGCGGAGGGTGACAACTACGTGGCCAAAGTCAAGGCGAAGGGCGACAACTACGTGGCCAAAGTCAAGGCGAAGGGCGACGTCAACGTGGCCCAGGCCGAGCGTGAGGTTGCCAGAGCCCAGGCAAAGGTGTCCCTGGCCAAGAGTAATTCATCGGCTGCCAATCAGGAGCACGACTTGGAGCCTCTGCAAACGGCTTTGGACGTCGCGAAAGCCAAGCTAAAGAAGGCTCGGGTCAAGGCGGAGGGTGACAACGACGTGGCCGAAGTCAAGGCGGAGGGTGACAACTACGTGGCCAAAGTCAAGGCGAAGGGCGACAACTACGTGGCCAAAGTCAAGGCGAAGGGCGACGTCAACGTGGCCCAGGCCGAGCGTGAGGTTGCCAGAGCCCAGGCAAAGGTGTCCCTGGCCAAGAGTAATTCAACGGCGGCCAATCAGGAGCACGACTTGGAGCCACTGCAAACGGCTTTGGACCTTGCGAAAGCCAAGCTAGAGAAGGCCCGGGTCAAGGCGGAGGGTGACAACGACGTGGCCGAAGTCAAGGCGGAGGGCGAGCGTGAGGTTGCCAGAGCCCAGGCAAAGGTGTCCCTGGCCAGGAGTAATCCAGCGGCTGCCACTCAGGAGCACGACTTGGAGCCACTGCAAACGGCTTTGGACCTTGCGAAAGCCAAGCTAGAGAAGGCCCGGCTCAAGGCATCGATGGACCAGGCAAAGGTGCAGTTGGATTGGGCTCAGAAAATGGCAGATATTGAGAAATCTGAGCAAGCAAAGGCTGTAGTGGCGACTTTTTCAAAGCATTTCGACGAGGTCGTCGCAGCTTTCGAGCGCAGCAACACGTCGAGCCCACTCATGAGGTCAAAGCATCCCTCAGCGCCGGAAATTCCAATCTCACGACGATCATCCAGCCAGCCTATCGTAGGAGATGGCTACAGCGCCAGTGTGGCATCATTGCGCAAGGATCAATATTTGACAAATGGCACATCTCTCGCCCAGGGTCGTGCCCTGTCAAAAAGCACCATAGCTTTGACTCAGCTTTTTCCGATGAGTACCTGCGACTCTGAGGCAGTGCTTCAAGAGACCTGGAAGAATTTTTTTGACACCCATGCAACCGAATTTCCGTGCCAAATGTTTTCGAGTGCAAATGTGGTCAGCTTGCTTGATCTCAAACCCGACTTTGTCATGGCAGCAAGAGAGCCTTTTTGCAACAACAATGTTGTATGCGTGCTGGAGCTTAAAAATACCTCATCTTTTCGCAATCGGGACCTTGGTCAGCTCCTTGGGTATCTTCGAACGATGTTGAAGGTGTCCGGCTGGTGTCGCACGTTTTGCTTTGGCGCCCTGCTTGGCCAGCAGAGTTTTATGATTGTCAAGGCAATTCTCGAAAAGGCTGAAGACGTTCGCTATGAAATTGTGGGCAACAGCGACTTGCGCAGCAGCCGGGATCTTGCCGTTCTGCTGACGATGTCTCCCAAAGAATTAGGCTGGATTGATCGAAAAGCGGTTGTTCGAGTTAACAACGAGGAGATGATGTATTTTCCCGACAAATTTCTCGGCAAAGGCAGCAACTGCACAGCCTTCACTGGAAAGTTCGATGGTGCAGACGTGGTGTTTAAGTTCTTCAATGATACATCTCATCGCCAACAGGAATGCGATTCGCTCAAGTTACTACATGATGCTCGGATTGAGCATGTGCCTACCCTGCAAGCTATCTCAGAATCTGAGGACCAGCCCTGTTGCATCGTTACGCCTGTAGGACAACAGTTCACGCATGAGAGCCCACCTACAGTTGAAGAGCTCCGACAGCTGCTTATGGTACTTCGTCAAGCTCACGGCATTGGCATTGTTCACCGAGACCCGCTCCCTCGCAACTATTTCCGCGTGCCTGGGGCTGTCTTGTTCAATGACTGGGGGTCTGCCCTGCCTTGTGGGTCAACTAGCACCCGGCCAACTGGGCGTCTGAGCGAGCTTGCCGCTGACATGGTTGACAGCGTAGGTCTTGCTCGATCTTTTTGGCTTTGGTTTCACAAAATCATATTAACAACATTGTGTGACATCCGCGTTTTATTTAGGCGGGCAACGTGCAGTCGGTGGAACCTCAGTTTCGGCACGACTTGGAAATGTTTGCCAAAGGCGTGTTCCTCGATTTGTGCCCTCAGTCACCCCAACCTGCGAGTGATTTCGATGTGTGGCAGAGGGACGCTGAAAGGCCAGAGGAGATTAGCAAGATTCTTCAATTGGCCCGAGCTGTACCAGCCATGCAGCAGGACTCGGATGCTGCGGACTTTGTCGCGCGGATGGCAGAAAAGTACGATGCCTTTGAGAATGCGCTCACAGACTTTTACCTTGTTTATGGGTACAAGACGCGTATGCGACGATGAGCCTGCTGATTCGTCAGAGCTTTTTGTGCAACACTTGTGCGCTTCGTCACTTCTGCATTGTTGTTGCTGTTGTTGTTGTTGTTGCTGCTGTTGCTTTTGTTGCTGTTGTTGCTTTTGTTGCTGTTGTTGTTGTTGCTGTTGTTGCTGCTACTGTTGTTGTTGCTGCTGCTGCTGCTGTTGCTTTTGCTGCTGAAAGTGGTTGAAAGTGGTTGAACAAGCTGCTTGAAGGACTCGGTCGTTTGCTGCTATATGCCACTCAAATCATGTGGCGACCCGTTTGGAACCAAGATTCTGACGCCATAAACCTTGTGACGAGATTCTTATGATGTATGATACTTTTGAATTAAGGGTCTTCGTGACAGATATGAGCTCGCCATCCTGAATGTCATGTCAGTCAGTGAACTCAACCAAAATCAAGTCAAATTGGAACGCTGGTGTCATGTTCTTTGAAACGCTGATGCCATGTTCGTATCTCATCGTCAACTTGGACAATTTGACGTGCTAAACACTCAGAGCCTGTCATGCACAGCTTGTAAGTTGCTGGTTGATGCACTAGGGGAAAGAAATTCACGAGCAAGGGGCTCGGCCCATGGCTCTGAAAAAGGAGGCACTGCCCCGTATGTATAATCCACGTCACCTGTGGTCACGTCACGCTGTGATGAGGGCAACTTGAACGCGGATGTTCGATGTTATGCCAGTGCCAAAAAAAAAAAAAAAAAAAAAAAAAAAAAAAAAAAAAAAACACCTTGTTGCTTCACCTCACCGTGGTCATCATGATCATCATCGTCATCATCTTGAATATCTTCGGCTTCATCTTCGTCGTCATTGTCGCAAGCTGGAGGGAGGTTGGGGAGGCGGCGTGGGTGCACATCTGCTTGGGCCTCTTCGTCATCTTCAAATCGGGGGGAAATAAGCACTCGCTGATCCTCATATCGAGGTATCAGAGAGCCGTCCGTGTGCATCTCAACGCGCGACCACTTGCGCATCCTGCATTGGTCAAGTTATGAGCAAGAATCTTGCACACGAATCCCGAACACCTGAGCACAACTACATGTGCTTCCCAGCGTTTGAACTTACTTGATCATTAATACAGCGCCCAAAATCAGCAACAAGGCTCCCGCGACGCCCAGAGCAATGTACACGAATTGAAGCTGCAAGTCACGGGTATGTTTGGATTCAGGCAGGCAGTCGCTGACGTTCCTCACACCTAGAAGCAAGGAAGATGTTTTCAAGGCGTACAGCCAGTATGAAACAAAAAATAAGCAAAAGCTAGCGGAGCTCGACAGGCAACAGTGTCCCCAACCACACCTGTGGGAAGATCCAAGTCGTAGGCTACTGAGGTGGAACCATCCACGCGGCCATCGACACCTTGACCGAACCAATCGGGACAAAGATATGCATGTTTGAGGGCAAGCCTTGATATCACCAGCAAGTATCGGACGATGGGTAACAACTCGTTCAATGCATTCAAGTGAAACCGATGCACAGTGTACCTGAGCAGGATGAGGTTGCAAAGCCAACGCGCGAATGTTCCTGGTCGTAGATGGTTACGTAGTTGGTGAGCAAAACCATGCCCAAGGTCACACCCACAACATTGTCGTTGGTGCTAAATCATGGGGTGTCAAGACAATGATGAGATTCTGCGTTAAGGAACGGAGAAATTGAAACGACAAGGTGGGGGACAGCGGCACAACCACGAGCGCACAACAGGACAAAGGGGCGCGAGGATACTAGGGCCAGAAAATAATGCAACTTACACGATGCCGAAACCATAGCATAGTGAACCTTGGAGCACAAGAGGCCGGATGTAATGCCACGGCGAAATGCGAAGCTCAAACATTTTGTCCGGATTCGATTCTTGAGGCAGACTGCAGGACAAATACAAAAAAAATGTCCACGGTGAGTTGATGCGCCTCTACGCAAAGCCTATGCGCGATGAGCGACAAGAGGTCCGTCCACACCCGATGTAGACGGAAGGCAGCTCAGTCAAATCAGGGTTGGCAATCTCGTAGCATTCTTCACCCTGCAATAATCAAGAAATGTGGACTCTTACTGAGCAACGCATTGACGAGGGGTTGTTGGATACAAGGATGCTTATTCAGATCGTGGTTGAAACAAACCTGATAAAATTTGGCCCGGCTGACTTGACTGTTCAGGCTCCATCGATCAATCAAGATGGGGTCAATTTCACGAACGATGGCGTCATGAACGACTTTTGGAACAATAACGTCAGTTGTACCCGAGTCAACGATGGTGTAGTAGGGAGAATTGTAGCTGCTGCAGGGAATGTCCAATACCTGGGTTCCGATTCGCATTTGAAGTACCTATGGAAGGGAAAAAAAAAAATAAAAATAAAAAATAAAAAGCGCATTGTTGTGCATGATTTCTGAGGAAGGAAGAGGGCAGAGAACAGGAGCTGGGACTGTTGTGTGAGAGGAAACGGCGCAACGGACCACAACGCTGTAGTAGGTACGACCATCGGCAGGGATGGGGGTGTAGACGAGCGAGTTCTTGGTGGCGGATGTGTTTGCCAAGTCCCATCCGGCTGCGCCAGTGAGATCGACACTCCCCAGGGTCTAAAGCAAGAAGCAGGATGATGAGATGGCAAAGTGAAGAATCAATGACAGGTGTTAAAGACGGCTGTTAATTGAAAAACTTGGGCGTGAGTGGTTGACAAGCTGCACGAGTGAGATGGTACCATATAGCTGGGTGATTGGGACAGAACGTCACACATTTGCAGGCTAACGATGCGACTCATGTTGCGGTTCTTTTGAAGCATCTGTAAGACGGGGGTGACTGGCTTGTTCACGGGCTTGTGTGGATGGACAAAGCAAACGTGAGGACTGGACTTGTGAGGCTTCCTCTGGGTGTGTGTGGGAAGGCGAAGGATGTGTTGATGCAGAGGGAGACGTGCATACCTCGGCAATCGAGGGATACGCCAAGCCCAAAATGCCAGAGAAGTCTGTCCCTTTTTCAAAAAAGGATTTTGAGGATGAAATTGCGCCAAACTGAACAGGGTTAGAGGCTAATTGATCAACACGACCATGACGGTGATGAGAGGGGGGGGGGAGAGAGAGAGAGAGAAGAATGGTACAAGTGAGTGGTTGACCAACGCATGGCCAAGCCCTGCTCAAGAACGAATGCCGAGTTGCTACGCACGCTCCGTGGGATGAACGGCAAAGCCAAAGACATCTTGAAGGCGATCGGCCGAGAAACTGCCAGACTGCGGCGAAGATGTCGGGAGTGAGCATGTGTCATACCCAAAGCAAAATAAGCACATGCACTGTATTGTGGAAGCCTCGGTCAAAGGGTGGGGTGCTGGGATCCGTACAGCATATTCAACCGAGAAAGAACCATCAAGATGCACGGCAGTGGTGGAATTCTTGGCCACGTATGTTTGCGGGGAATTGTCGTTGGCATTTGCAGAGACGGCTGCAGGGTGGCGAGGGGAGGCATGCGTCGTCAGCGGTGGTTCTGTGGCTGTCAAGGCGGGGTTAGCAGCAGCTTCGGGTTGAGGCCAGGTACCTAGATTGCTGCTGCCGGTGTCCACTACGACCTTGAACTATTGAGGCAGTGGAATTGAATGACACCGAAAAGGTGAGTGAAAGGAGCTGAGTGAAGAAGGTCTGAGGTGGCAAGAGACGGGGGTCAAGTTCGCACTTGTTGAGGTGGCGTGCCCAAAAAGATTTCAACTGAATAGGCCGATTCGGGCTGACCCGTGATGGGACTGCTTTTGTTATGAAGATTCATCTGACGGCGTTGGTGGCGAGCGAGCGAATCTGAGGCCGTCAGGGACGTTGCTGATGGGGCATTGAGCGGCAAGCGCCAGGTGTTGGCAGCCATCGCCTGAACGCCCACGCTGGCGAAAATCACAAGCCCCACAAGGAACCATGTCGTCCGCCCGCCACCAGCGCCCGCACGCCGCGAGCCCCAGCAGCAGCGACTGCGATCTGCCGTCGACATGGTTGGCGATACAAATACAAATCCGCCACCCACACCACAACGGCACGCGCGCTGACAAAGGCCCGTTCCAGGCGCCGCCTCGGCCGCCCCACACGACCTCGACGAGACAAGGGCTGGCCAACGCCAAAGAGGCAGTTGAAGTACCCCAAAGGCCTCGGTTCCGAGGATGAGAATCGAGCACCACACACCACCAACAAGATCTCTGAGAGAGAAGGAGGGGGGGAGACGGAGAGAGAGAGAGAGTTCTGAGAGAGCGAGCGAGAGTGTGTGAGCGCACGCGCGAGAAAATGCGAGAGACAGAGAGAGAGACAGAGACAGAGAGAGAGAGAGAGAGAGAGAGAGACAGAGAGAGAGAGACAGAGAGACAGAGACAGAGAGAGAGAGAGGAGAGAGGCAGAGACAGAGAGACAGAGAGACAGAGAGACAGAGAGAGAGACAGAGACAGAGAGACAGAGACAGAGAGACAGAGAGAGGAGAGAGGAAAAGAGGAGAAGAACAAAAAAGGGTGAAGAGGGACACACACGCGAAAACGCACACATGCAGAGAGATACAGGAGACGCAGGGCCAGCTACAGGGCAGACGACCTGACAAAGACAGACGACCCGACAAAGACAGACGACCCGACAGAGGCAGACGACCCGACAGAGGCAGACGACCCGACAGAGGCAGACGACCCGACAGAGGCAGACGACCCGACAGAGGCAGACGACCCGACAGAGGCAGACGAACAGCGGACGTAGAGGTGTGCGTCATGATTTTTTTTTTTTTTTTTTTTTTTTTTTTTGGAGAGAGAGAGAGAGAGAGATGAGGCGTGCAAGCGTGAAAGGCGATGGGAAGGGGGTCGAGTTTGTTGTTGACATGATACGGTCAGGTTTGGAGAGGGGTGTGTTGTTGCGAACGGGGTGGATGGGTCATGATCGCGGGTCCGATTCTACCTCGGCTGACTGGCTGCCGTTTGGTCCGATCTCAGAGGAGGTGTCAGGGACTTTTGTTGTTGGCGGCTCCTCGGAATGCAAACAGCACATTGAAACAGGTGTTTTACATAGCAATGGATGTGTGGCGCTGACACACGGACGGATGGTGGAATACCATTGACAGCTGGCATCCAGCTCAGAGGTACCAGTCCCCTTGTCTGTAGATGAGACTGGGAGACTGGGAGACTAGGCCATCGGTTACCAAACATTGAACTCCCTTCAGTACCGAGAGACTCAAAGACTAGCAGACTAGCAGACTAGCAGACTTGACAAGACTCGAGACCGATTTTGACCTGTTTTGGCTCACTCTCTTGAATCTCTCTCTCTTGCTCTCCTCTCTCTCTCTCTCTCTCTCTCTCTCTCTCTCCCTCTTCTCTCTTGCTCTCTTGCTCTCAATCTCTCTCTCTCTCTCTCACACACACACTCTCTACTCTCGCACTCTCTCACTCTCTCTCACGAACGGCAGCGACAGAGAGAGCGTACGTGACAGAGCCTCTGTCCTCTGGTTCCCGTCGGGTGTTGGATAGCTTGGTAGAGCGATACGAGACGGGCCACCCCAGCAGCAACGCTGCGGCGGCTGCCGCGTCATAGTACACACACGACCTGTGCTGCCCGACGCCTTTACGTGAGTCATCGTCCGCCTCCTCCTCCTCCGCGGAGAGATCACACACACACACACACACACACACACATTGCTTGGTGCCCATCTACTGCCCGCGATCCGCCTCCGTTGAGCTCGCTCCTGCCACCGAGGGACGGGGCCCACTGTTTATACTGAGCAGTGGGGCGGCGTCGTGGCTTGGGTTGTGCAACAAAGACCCTCGGCTGCGTTTTTTGTTGTGATCCCTCCTCCTCCGCCTCGCGTTTCGAGCCACCGCCCAGAGTTTGCTTGTGTTCCTCCGCCCTTTATGGTGCCATGCTCTCCCTTCTTTAGCTAACGATCCCGCCACCTGCCTCCTTTTTTATCCAAGCTTAGATGGCGCTGTTGTGATTCAAGTGCCCACCAATTGTCCTTTCCGCTCGTGACCAAGCTTAGCTGTCTGCCGAGCCCCGGTCCAGGAACTCGCCCTGTCATCCCTTTCTCTTGCCTCTTTTTTCCTTTCTTCATTCCCTTTCTCTTCACTGACCGTGCAAGCGATACGAATCGTCACCGCCTTGGCCTGCATTGCATCTCGCCACGATGCCACCTCCTCCCCCTGGCCCCCCGCCGGTACGTTTGAGCTCCCATGCTGTTTCACCAGCGATTTTTACGACTTGCGGTTGTGTCTGTGCAATTGTTTCGCGGCGCATGGAGGGAGATCAATTGCAGGGCTCCTGCCCCACCTCCCATCTTTTGCCAAACATCCTCTCTCTTGAGCTCTCTCTCTCTTGAGCTCCCTCTTGAGCTCTCTCTCTCTCTTGAGCTCTCTCTCTCTTGAGCTCTCTCTCTCTCTTGAGCTCTCTCTCTCTTGAGCTCTCTCTCTCTCTTGAGCTCTCTCTCTCTCTCTCTCTTGAGCTCTCTCTCTCTCTCTCTCTTGAGCTCTCTCTCTCTCTTGAGCTCTCTCTCTCTCTCTTCCCTTCTCTTTTCTTCATCTTCTTTTCCACTTCTTTTCCAGTGGTTGTGTCATATCTTCCCTCTGATCATGACATTGCTCACTGTGGCCAACTTGCACTTGCTCCTTAGCCCCCAACCCTTGGTGGCGGCCCACCTGCTCTTGGCAAATCTGAAGCAAAGGTACGCTTCTCGCCCCTTCTCTTGATATCCTTCTTTGAGATTGGATAATTTCCCCCAATGCCCTGATTTATCTGTTATTCACCTTTGTTTGCACCTTCAAAAAACCCACCTTGCCACCCTAGGGTCGTGGTGCCCTCTTGACGTCCATCAATGGCGGTGGCTTCAAACTAAAAAAGGCCGTAACCAAAGATCGTTCGGCCCCTTTACTCAGTACGTCCCACCAGCGCAAGATCGCGACCCAAACCCCCCTTGCAACGCCATTGTCCTTGGCAAAAGGCTCGCTCGCACTCATGGCTCACCTCGTCCTGGCCTGTCTCACTTAGCGTCTAAACCCAGCGGCGGCGGCGGCGGCGGCGGCGGCGGCGGCGGCGGCGGTGGTGGTGGTGGTGGCGGCGGCGGCGGTGGCGGCGGTGGCGGTCCACCTGTCGGTGGTCTCGGTGGCCTGTTTGCCG